AAAGCAGACTTTTCATAGTAATGAACGGATAGCGTCATACTAGCAAAAACGCCAAGAAATGCGCCGAAAGTAATCAGACCAAGCAAGGCCAAACACCCCACGCCAATATCCCTCCAAGAAACGTTTAAACCCCGTGCAATTTCGGCAAGAATCACATCATTTCGCTCATACGGATCACGACTGGCAGCACTGGAACCAACAGGATGCTGCTGTGATGATTTTGTCGAATCCTCATTCCGATTCTGCTGCCGATTTTGCGAAGCATTTCCGCCGCGACTTCTCCTATTTCCGCCCATCTTTCCAGCTCTGGTGATTTAAAAATGGTTCCTTGTAAGCATGAGCAGTATTTGGTGAGTAAATGACGCAGCTTTTCTCTTGTCTTTGTAGTGCAGTCCGCTCGATGCGATGTGTTTCATTCAATGGATGATTGATTCAAAACACAGCGGTCTGTTGAGTCGAAACTAATTGCAGGTGATGGCGGCCATGTGATGTGAAGATTATTGAAGTTGAAAGTGTGGTCGTGGATGGTTATTCCAGATTCTGCATTCCTCCACGGAAACTAAACAAATAAACACTGACGTCATATTAGTTGACCCGTTTGATCTCTTTGAATCGGATGTCAATGTACGACTTCTCTGACCAGAAACATCATCTGACACACAAGATCCATCACCGCTGTGGCATCATTAATTCTACTACTGTAGACATCAGAAGACATCAGAAGACCCCAATACTGTCATCAAAATGCAGCTGAAAGCCATCTATTTCATCACTTTGCTAGCACCAAACATTCAACATGTCGTATCCTTTTTGCCACAGCAACATGTTCCATCAGACACGACCGTCCCGCATCATCAAGAAAAACGTCACCAGCAGCAGCATCCATCAGTCTCGACGAATCTCTCACAGCAGGCCGCTAGAAGCATTCCCAGAGGTGGCTCGGCTTTGAATATGTCTCCTTCTTCCATGGTCTCAACCATCGTTTCTAGTATGCAAACTGGTCCTTGGGGGATTTTGGCGTTGTCAGCTGTGACTTGGTCAGTAGTCCTTCCATTGACACTCTACAAGAAAATCTATGGAATTGGCGTGGCCTATGGATTCAGTGTAGCGGCGGCTGGACTAACCATGCTGAAGGTTCTATCGACGT